ATTCATTGGGTTTTTTATTTTGTGATTAGGTAATCGTTTTAATTTTGATAGGTTAAATTTTTGTAGTTTTCATTTACTTTTCGTGGTACATAACATAGAAAATAACATATTGTATGTGCACTTTGAACTGGCACATTTAGTAATATATCAGTTACTTTTCGTGGTCATATATTATATTAGATAATATCATTTGAAGTATTAAAGTTTAAATTATTATGTTACATTATTAGATAATCATTTTAATTTAGAAAAGTACAAATTTTTGGGGATAATTTTCAAAGGTTGAAATTTATTGGGTTTTCTATTTTGTGGTTAGGTAATCGTTTTAATTTAGGAAGGATCAAATTTTTGCGGTTAGTTTTCAAAGGTTTAAATTTGTTGGTTTAATATATTCTGAAAAAATGTTTCGAAATCATTTTCGCAATATAAATTTCTCAACGAGGATGCTGCGTGCGTGCGTGCGTGTGTAGAAAATAGGAGAAGCATAAGATAGAATGATTGTAAGTTGTAAATTAAGCATAAGATTCATGGTGAAAAAGAGGCGTGAAGATGTATAATATCAAATTTTCTTGTATTTAGTCTTGTGAAATACTTGTAATCCTAATGAGAATTCAGTAAATAAATATATACAGACCCGGCAACTTACCTCGCCAGTAAGGGTGGAATTTGTGGCTGATGGAGGGAGAGAGAAAGTACAAAGTGACGTTTATTTTCTATTTATTTTGTACTTTTTTGTCGTTTCCTTTTTTACAATTACGAATTGCGACGCTCTGTGCCGGTTTCTGCTGATGAATTCATTTAATGCTTCGTCCAAGTTTTGAATATGGCCTACAGCCTAAAGTTATAGATATACCAAAGTAGTAGCAAAGGTCCTCTATTTGTTACTTACTAATCAAACCCTATACCAATAATATTAAGCGTTCATTGGACTGACAATGAGTCACAAATGGTGGTCGAATTAGCCAACAGAAAGGCTGTCAATTTTTCGGCTCAGATAAAAGGAATGCACTACTTTGGTATATCTACAGTTTTACTACAGTCATTTTAATGTAACAGTCAGTAAGTCGAATCTTTGTTATGTATGTAGTTATACTGCCACATCACGAATATCGGTCGATATCTGCATATTTTAAAAAATTCACATATGATTTTTAATTCGCAATGCTTGGATTTTTTGGGTGTAAATTTTCATACTACGCTAAATTTTAGGTGTGGATTTCTACACTACTCTAAATTTTGGATGTGGAGTGCTCCACGTGATTCCATACTATAATTGCTGGGCCTGAATATACATACAACTCGATCATTAATATACTAATTATAATTTCTTTATTCTATGATAATCCTTCCACTATGAGTAGTACACATTTTAATAGGATTATTAATTTTTGTTATTTGTTTGGAAGTAACAATTGTAACTATTGTAAACAAGATTTCTCTTTTAGCACTTTTCAGTTTGTTTTTAAAAACAGAAGGGCGATTGTATATGATTGATTTAAAATCTGAAAGAAAATTTGAAAAATGTTTGAAATATACTATAATATAAAGTATATTAGTGTACAAAACAAATAAAAAGTACGAAATTTTACCGCCATAAATGAGGGCAACGAGAAATTAAAATTTTTAAACGTAGCAATTTTGCATTCTAAATTATTAGCCATAATTATTAAGATAAAAATATGTTTTATTGATGGCTGTAGCAAATACCACTTTTCATGAAACGCCTCATCTGTTATTTCCGTACTCTACATTTCCAGAGAAAAGTAATATGCAACAAAAATCAAATAATTACATATAAATATATTATACATATACAAATATAATATATATAATATTAAATTATAAAATTTACTGCGTTTATTAATTGTTGCACACAAGAGCACAAAATATAAAGTTGCACT